CTTTCTTCCTTTCTTTCTCTGCTCTCCTCTCCTATTTTTGGATCTCCAATCCATCACACACCTGTGCCCTGAGAGCCCTGGCAGAAGCTCTGTGTGTGTTTGTACTTGGTGGCACTTGAACCACACTTGGTACAAATTCAGCACTGTGAGAAAACTGCCTTGCCTTTGAACTCCTCACATCACAAGAGATCTTTTGACTACGCCCTCTCCATGAAAAGAAAAATCACATCATCAGCTTTTCTTGAAATAGAGCAAAGCTCCAGCTCCATGCTTGGTTCAGCCTTGATAAACACGTTGTTACTGCAGATAAGCAGATCTGTTCTTGTCCATGAGACATCAGCACAGCATGTCCTTATCTGGGACAGCTCCCTGGTGGAAATGCTCCTGTTTGGTGACACAAACCCCAGCCAGGTGTCCTTGGGAGCCTCATTGTCACTGAAACCTCATGTTCTGCTCTAAAGGTGACTGCAGAAATCCTCCCTTGCGCTGAAGCCCATTTCCCATTTTCTATTGTAGTGCCTTAACAATGGCTGTGCTTAATTAATCTCTCCAGAACTGCACCCCAGGATTTGGCTGATTCCCACTGAACTTTATTTATTCCCCCTGCTCCTCATTTTTGACCTTTTTCATGTCATCAAGTGGCTGTCCCCAGGGTCTGCTTTTGCTCTCACATGAACAGTGCTTTGTTATGGGAAAGCTTCTTTGCAGTCTGGTTGAAATATGACATTTAACTCAAAGGAAAACCACAGAATAAGCCAACAAAACAGTTTCCTGAAAGAAAACTGAATTTCTGAAAAAAAAAAAACCTTTTTCTCTGAATAAAAATTCTGACTTTGAAGATGTCCATCAGCTTTCAATTGTAAAAGATAAATTAAAACAATATTTCCAAAATCACTACAGTTCTTTGGGGAAAATGTTTAGTTCTGCACAGAAGAACCCTAAAACTAAACTGCAATTCCACAAGTAATGGTGTGAATGCAGAAAGATGCTGGCACAAAGCATTTTGTTAAGTGTCATTTTAAATGTGAGTTATTTAAAAATAATGAAATGAAAGAGCTCACCATGTCTGATAGGTGGCTTAGAACCTTTTCCTCTAGAGAAAATTTACATTTTATTTTTCTGTCACACACAGGATTAAACAAATATGGAAATAATGGACCTTGTCAGGAAACACAAAAATCCAAATTTTTATTCAAGTCCAGTGGAAAACAGGCTAATTCCAGCCTTTTCCTGAAATCCTCTTCATTGGAACAGCTTTTCCTGCAGGACACCAGGTCCCTCTGGTCTTACGTTACATGTTCATTTCTGCTGGGAATTACTGATAGTTTGGGGCCTCTGGATTTATGTTTGGTGATTGCTTCCATTGCTGTGCTTTGTTTTCTCATCTCCATTTGTGCTGACATTCCCCAGTGTCCCTGAGAGCTCCTGGGTGCCCCAGTCTGCTTTAATGCTCCATGAAAATGTTTAATTTATTTGGAATATCACTTCTTCTTATACTGACACTAAGCAGGTGCTCTGTCACTCTCTTTGTTTTGATAATTACATCAAGTTTCCTCAACCCCAGACTGTGATTTGAACAATTTCAAACCTCTGTATCTCTCAACATGCTCCAAAGATTTTTTTTCCATACTCCCGTGGCTTTCCCAGGCGTTTCTAAGCACCTCCAAACTCTGCCAAAAGCCATTTTGATAAGGGATGATTGACACAGCTTTCCATGCAAGGCCACACTGCCAGGGTGTTTAATGGCACAGCCACATTTCCCATGGGATTTTCCACGGTGGTTCTTCATTTGTTCACAACTTTCACTCTGGCTGTCGCTGTGCCATAAATAAAGATGACTCTGTTAAGTTGTTCCTTCATGAGTGAAGGGGGCTAATTTGGAATCAGTAAGATATGCAAATAAATTCTGCCTTGGGCTGCATTTATCAACTTGTGTTTTCAGTTGTTAATTGATTGCTAAGTTGCTTCTCCCTAATGAACTTCCTGGGTACCTGGACAGGAATCCTGTGTAGGAGTCCCTGGGTTTAACAACAAAATCATAGCATCATGGAATGGTTTGGGTTGGAAGGGACATTAAAGATCATTTTGTCCCACCTCTGCCATGGCAGGGACACCTCCCACTGTCCCAGGCTGCTCCAGCCCCAGTGTCCAACCTGGCCTTGGGCACTGCCAGGGATCCAGGGATGGAATTCCATCCCAGCCCTGCCCACCCTGCCAGGGAACAATTCCTCATTCCCAATATCCCATCTAATCCTACTTTCTGTCAGTTTGAAGCCATTCCCTGTGTGCTGTCCCTGAATCCCTTGGAAATTGTCTCTCCCCAGCTTTCCTGGGGCTCCTTCAGGCCACAATTCCATCACCCCAAAGCTTCTCTTCCCCAGGCTGAACAATCCCAAAATAATTTAAGATGTCCATTACTGATGACAGGATAATTAGCCAGTTCTTAATTTGTTTCTTATGATACACTGATTTAATTTCTATTGTAAATAGTTGTGGGGTGTTTTGGTGAATGCCTTATGAAAGCCAAATGTATGCATTGGATCAGCAGTTCCCTTTTCAGCCATTAATATAAACAAACAATTCTAGCAGACTTTGATTTCCAAGGACCCAAACAAGTTGAATTTGTTGATGTAATGCCCTGGAAGTTGTTTCCTTTTTTCTCTTTTCAGATTATCAATTACCAAATCTACAGACATGCATATATACATGTACACAAGGCTATATTAAATAATATCTGTATGAACCCTCCTGCACTCTACCCTAGAGCACAAATAAAATAATTCCTCTTCAAACTCCCTTTTTCAATGTGCCAACATCTCTTTTGACCAGAGCTCAGCCAATTCCAGTGCATGTCCCTTCTGAGCACTTGGATTTTTGCCTCTGGCTCAGTAATGGATTTTCTTTAAATTCAGCATTTGCTGCAGCTCCTCTTCATGTCCCTTAGTACTCTGCACTCATTATTGGAAAAGCAAATGTCCAGTTTAGGCATTTTTCCAGCATTTTTTGTGGTGAAGGGTGATAGAAAGAAAATCTTTGGCTTCACAACCATGTCCTCACCTTCTTTAATTACTCCCATCAACCTTTCACAAATGAGCACATCCACAAAACTTTCACAGGTTTCAAAATGTTGAGCCTTAAGACCTTCCTTATGTTTTGATTTAACTTAAGACTCTTAAACTCATAATCAGATTGTTGTGGGTTCTGCTTGCCTCAAACATAAATAAAATTTAGACAGCAGGAGAAGCCTGTATCCTGCATTTTTAGAGTATTTTTCCACAATAGACTTGAAATAAAAAGGAATTTTAACCTCATTTTACAAAAAGAGAGCTGAAGGGGATTGACAGATGACTATGCTGGGACAGTGTAACAGAACCACTGAACAGAGCTCAGGTTTCTGATTCCCTGGTGCTTTCAGAAGTTGATACACTTGCTTCAAAGACAGAGATTTGTGGAAAAAATGGACTTATTAAACTCTACTTAATTATTTTCCTCTAATTATTTCACTCTACACAATTACAGAGGCACATATATATATGATATAAGTACATAGTATGTGTATGTTAAAAATAGAGTCTTCTATTTATGAAAAGGGAAAAAGAATGAGATATTTCAAGAGATGAAATGAGTAAGATCACAGCACACAAAAAGTGGTCATTGTTCATACCTGGCCTGGTTGCAATTCTTTGTGTTGCTTCTGGATAAACTGATGTGTTTGGGAAAATAAAAGTGGCACCTCCTGAAGAGAAAGAAGAGAACATAACACCTAAAGATTCATTTCCACAGTCCCTAAATCCACCAGTATTTTCCCCTCCTGTAGAATGAATGAGTGAGGAATCTGAATAACTGATTTCTGCCTTTGGACTGTTAGATATAAAAGTTAATTCTAATAATCTTCTACGTCTATGTAAATCCATTCAAGTTACTGGATAAAAGTCTGTGCAAAATCTGTTTTAAGAAGGAGACAGTCAAGCTCAGGAAATCCCTTCTACCACAATCACCTCCACCTGGGAAGGTGGCTTTGCACCCCCTGAAATAAAACCATTTTGCCTTTATTAGTGCATTCCCAGAAAAGTCCATATTTTCAACAGAGACTTTTGGGTCAGACCCTCAGATATCTCATTAATCTTCCACAGAGTGAAAAAATGAGAAATATTGAGTTTGATGTAGGAAATGGAATCTCCCTTTTCTCAGGCATTGAAATTGCTCTGGCTACACCAATGGACTTCTCATGACTCTCTCCAGGAAGATCAAAAAAGTCAATTATTGCTGATTTCAATAACTTTTTTTCTAACACTTTTGTGGCCCACTGAAAATTGAACAACTGATTTCCCATATGCTGATGATCAGCACACCATCATTCACACTCCCCAATGACAGATAATCTCATTTTGGTGAAATGAATTTCAGAATATCATTGTCAGTGCACACGTAGAGAAAAAGATAACACACAGAACTGCTGAACAACACTTGGATATCCACAGGTGGAAGCAGCTTGGCAAATGAGAATCTCCAAAGCCAGAGATGGAAAAGACCATTAAGTGCAAATGTTTTTAGAAAGGATTCAAATCTTATCCAAACCACATCAAAATAAATGGATTTTTTTTTTTTTTTTGCTTTTGGTGGGGTTTATTTGCCACTACGACCAGTGGCAAACCTCTGACATCAGGGAAAGATCTAATCCACTGAATTTTGCTATGAAACTCACTCAGAGTGAAAAACAAAATAAAATATGAAAAAACATTGCTATCCAAGTTTTGTTTTCTTTTTCTTTTGCATTATCCTTTGTATTATCTTTTTCCTTTCTCATAGAGAATTGTTATTTCTGGTCACTGTAGGTAACTAACACCCTCAGGCATGATCATGCAATATTCCAAACATCTTTTGTAGGGATATAACCCACATTATTATTTGTACCATTCCATGCCATCCTCTGCTGCACAACTGTTACAGCAAGTTAAAATGGACTCTGAATTATTTTCATAAATACTTTAAGTTGCATCCTGAAAGACAGATGAGGCATGTGTCATTCTCCTGCCTACACTCAACACTTTTCTGGGCCAAATTAACAGAAGGGTGAATATCAACAAAAATAATTTTTAAATTCAGATCAGCCTTAGTGGAATTCCCAGCTCAAGTCCCACAGCAGCTAGAAAATGAGATGAGCTAACTGCCTAAAGAGCAATTTTATTGATTCCCACTTAGCTCATGGGAGGAGAAACATCCCCTTTCCCCCAGAGCTCAAAGCACTTCTGCGCTCCAACAAGCTTCTAGGGATCCATGGAGTAAATCTTACAGCAGAATGGACAGAAGGACCACAAAAATCCTCAGATGCAAGGCCCCAGACCTGCAGGTTTATGCTGTGTCAGGGACCCCATCCTCTTGCAGGACACCAGAAAATTTTGCACCATTTTTGCACCACCTGGCCCTGCGTTACCTCACCTTTTCTCTGTGTGTCTGTGCAGAAAACACACAGACAGCAGGGAGGGGACTCTCTTGCCTCCCTCCTCATTTACCACCTCATTTTTTTTAGCAAGCAGCCCATGGAAAGGAATCCTGTGCTTTTAGAAGATGATGACCTACAGCAGTGGGAGCAGTGCCAGCATTACCTGTGTTTCTAGCATGCATTAACCGTGGAGAGTTTTGTAAGGCTTTATCAACATCATCTGAAGTCAAATGTGGAAGAGGAGCTACAAAACAAAACAAAAAGCAACACCAAAATGTAAAAAAAATCGTGAATTATCTTTTTAAACAATATTTTTCCCCTGACAGGATTGCCTGAATGTGAATCTATCAACAGCCTGCAGTTTGGAGGGAGGTGTGTGGGCTACAGGGTAAATTAGGGCATTCATTTATCCAATATCATAATTTATTGTTATGAATGCACAAAATTTCTGGCTGGTTATTGACAGTGTGCGTGTGGAGGAGACCGCACCGCACTGGTGTTGCAATGCTTGGTGGTTTTTTCTCTAAAAACCATTTTAACTTCTTTAAACTGAGGTAAATTTCCTCAAGCTTAGGTGAAAGCCCTCAATCCAGGTAATCTCTTTTTTCCCATTGAAATTCTAGCCATACACTACATTTAATTTTCATTTGGACTTCAGGGACTCTTCCTTTTTTCCATGAATTTACAAATTTTTTTTTATTCAATTCAGTCGAATCTCCCCAGTCCTACCCAGAGTACAGCAAACTCCTGCCATTCCTTAGAATCATGCCTGGAATTCACTTTGTGAATCAATGTTTGCACTCTTGTTGTGTTAAAATGAAAAGAAATGAGTATGTGACCAGAAAAAACATCAGCACTGAACCCCATGTGATTTTTTTCTTCCTGCTCAACATGCTTCATCTCAATTTTTTTCTTCCTGCTCAATATGCTTCAACTCAATTTTTCCCTGAGATGGATACCTATAAAGAGTCACTAATTCTTGTCTGTGATAAAAATGAGTGAAATTAATGGGAATCTTTCCACCAAACTCAACAGGACTTGGGCTGGCCTCCCTGTAATGCCCTTAGGAACAGCAACATTTGCAACAGACATTTGGAAAACCCAATTATCCGCAGCGGTAAGTCTGGGACGGACTGCAGGCAGGACGCAGGGCTGGCTTACTCTCTCTGAGGTAGTGTAGGTGTGACAGGAGGATGTCTGCATTGTAGCTGGGGGTGAGCCTCTGGAAGTCATCCTTGGTCATTTTGCAGAGCTCCTTGCCGTCGATGTTCTGGAAGAGCAGGATGTCCACGTCCGGCAGCCCGTACTCCTTGACCGCCCACTCCAGCCACTGGCGCACGTGGTCAGTGCTCCACAGCGTGGGGTCTGCAGGGACACACAGCAAAACATCAGGCTGGGAAGGGCAATGCTGGGGCACTGGACCCATGCAAAATAATCCCCACTTTACTGACTGCTGGAGGAGTTAATTTGGTGTGCTGAGTGCAAGGGAGAGCAGCTGTGGAGGGCTGAGAGCTCTGAGTGCTAACATCAAAGCCTGTCAAGGGAACAAAGCTGTGTCAAGGGAAACATAGGTTGGATATTAGGAAAAAGTTATTTACAGAAAGGATGATAAAGTTCTGGAATGGCTGCCCAGGGAGGTTCTGGAATCCCCATCCCTGGATGTAAAAAAAGCTTGGATGTAGCACTGGGTGCCAGGGTTCAGTTGGGCTGTTGGGGCTGGGCTGGACTCGATGGTCTTGAAGGTCTCTTCCAACCTGGTCATTCTGTGAATTCTGTGAATTGCTCTGCACAACTCCCTGACACGAGGGGCACTCAGGGGAGGTTGGGTTCTGCTGTTGTGTCCCAAGGGAAAGGAGGAGAGGAAATGGCCTCAAATTTAGGAAGGACCTTGGGACACTGAGCACATCCAGAGGAGGCATTGAGGCTGGAGAGGGGCTTGGAACACAAACCCTGTGAGGAAGCCCTGAGGGAGCTGGGGCTGCTTGGCCTGGAGAAAAGGAGACTCAGGGCTGCCCCCATCGCTCTGCACAGCTCCTGAAAGGTGCCTGTGCTCACCTGGGGCTGGGCTCTGTCTGCAGCAGCACTGACACACCCAGAGCACACAGCCTCGAGCTGCACCCAGGGAAATACAGGTTGGATAGCAGGGAAAAGGTTTTTCCAGCAAGGGTGAGAAAGTTCTGGAATGGCTGCCCGGGGAGGGGGTGGAGTCCCCATCCCTGGGTGTGTTTAACAAAGCCTGGATGTGGCGCTGGGGGCCAGGGTTCAGTTGAGCTGTTGGGGATGGGTTGGACTGGATGGTCTTGGAGGTCTCTTCCAACCCAGGGATTCTGGGAATTTTGTGAGTTCCTTCTCCCACTCAGCTCTTCTGCCTCATTGTTTTTAGGCCTTTTTTGCCATTGCTTTTGGCTCTTTTTAACAGAGCTTCTGGCCCACTAACAGCACTGCAAGCTGGAGCTGAACAAGTTACAAAACTCTCAGCTCAGTCTTTATCTTTATTCAAGTGAAATTTCCACTCGTGTCTAGAAAAATCTTTCTTGAGTACAGGCTAAATAAGCACTCATGGGCAGTTATTTTACACACTAGAGTGGGTCTCTAGTTAATAATGTTAGAATAATAAAATATTCTGCATTTTTTTCCCAAACTGCTGTGTTATACACTGCTACACCTGCATGGTTTTGCACTCAATACCTCAAGCATTGGCAAAACCATCTGGGGAAAAAGAGCCCCAAACCGCTGAGATTTCTAGCAAAATGTTTTTTAATTAATCCTTGATTTTAATTTAAGTTTTTTTTTATTTTTTCCCTGTAGACATCTCATTTTCTATTTTTCTCTCATTCTATCTTTCCTTTTTCTTGAGTAAGGAACCAACACAAAGGTCTCTCAGCTCATACCACAAAGAATTCATACTTTTTACAGAGAAAAGTTTAAAGCCAAGGGGAAAAATTCTTCAGGACCTTCTTCCGTATAATTTTAATGACTCAGTGATTTTGTGATAACCTCAAGGCTGAGAATGGAGCACATGGAGGTCAATTGGCTCCCAAGGTTCATTCCATGAACATCTGGGACATGAATGGCAGCCTAAATAGCTTTTCTATGGCTTAACTTCAGTGCCATTCCCTCTATTTTCACTGCTGTTCAGGCTGGTCTGAAAGAGGTGGAGACCTCCTGAATTCCACCAAAAAACAGTTAAAATAATGCCTCCATCTGGTATGAAATAAGCAGGAGTCTAGAGGGATGCAAGTCTGGTGGTTAATCTTAGGTCTGGATGAGATTGCCCACACCTACAGCAAAGAACTCTGAGAACTTCAGTTTGCTCTGAAGTAAACAACCAAACACCAGGAAATTTACCAAAATATTTTCATTATGTCTGTAATTTTTTTAAAAAAAGTAATTTTCTTCTTAATTATGATAAACAGAAAGTTACCATAACTGGAAATGTGAATTTTACTTCTAACTTTACCACATGAACTGCACACTGCCTATGCAATAATAAAAAAAACCCTGATTTTTGCCCATTAATTTCTTCAAATGATTTCAAACTGGCAAGACTGTGACCATCTTGCTCCTTGATAGTCATTCAAACCCACCTCAAACACACCTCCAGGAATATACTAAATAAAAAAATCCCTTGCTGGGCTAACCATGCTAGTAATTACTAAAGGTCTTTTTTTAAAAAGTGCCAAACACCAGGGAGAGAAATGTTTTAGGAGAACATTCAAAAGCTCTGTATTTCAGTGTTGGCAGGACATTTATTATTCAGAGCATCACTCTCCTGTCTCCAGAACAGAATTGACAATACCATTGCAGAGGAGGACACTGCAACAGATTTGTCCACACCTTTCTTGACAAATAACTGAAATAATCACAGCTTGCAAAACTGGCCACAGTCAGTACTCTTGCATGTCTAAGCAACTGAAAAACTGTAATAATATTAAGCAACATGGCAGAGGCAGAAATATTTCACACCAGCACCTCTCTGCTGGAGAGGAACCAGCAGCAAACATTCCCTCCTGGCTGCAGGTGTTGAATTTACATCCTGTGGTTTAGGAACACCCACAGATGCCATGATGCTGTGACTTGGAAACGGGCAGGCTAATTATTCTGCAGAATATTCCAGGTTTGTTTGGAGGACAAGGCAACAAGAACAAGGCAGCAGCCTTCTTGTCCCATCAACTGTTGAATCCCACAGCCAAGCCTGCCAAGGCTGACCAAGAATTTCTCAATTGTGCTCTTACATTGCAGTGGAGTTGTCAGTTTGCTTATTAAAATGTTTTATGCTGCCCAGACTCAGGGGATAACTCACATAAAGGCTCTTCATGCCCTGTTTGAATCCACAGAAGCTACTTTTTGGTATTTTCAAAGATAACCTGTGCTACAGGGATCCTTTCTCTCTCTATCCCATACACAAGCTTGTCCAAGGGATAAGAAATGGAGGCGCTTCTTCCTTTTGCTCACTTTAGGGTGGAATCCTCCAAGAAGTTGCTACAGGAGTCAGATAAGATCTGAGTGCCTCTTATCAGCCCATTCTGCTGCTGAAATGGGAAGAACAGATTGAGGAGGTGTCCTCATGATCTCCCTCAGCTCAATAACCCCTACAAACTACTGCTCTTTTCCTCCTGATCACTACTTTTCCCCAAACCCTCTCCAATAATCTTAGTGGGCTTGAGGGAAATGCAGTTTTTTTGGCTTGCATTTGGTGCAAAGGGTCTGACCTGCTGGCACAATGACTCTCCGTTCGTTGGTCGTCATGTTTGGGGGTGGAACGTGCTTCTCCTCCATGTAGCTTCCATAGTTCATCCCAACACTGTCTGAGCTGCTGACCATCTTCCCTCCTTTCGCCACGCTGCAGTCATCTGGAGAATTCCTAGGCAGACAAGAAAGGTGTGCTTCCATTATTATTCCAGTCCATATTAATATCACCTGAAGAAAATCACCTGGAATGAAATGGAAAACTGGAAAACCCAGTACCCCCCACCCAGTGACTCTGCACGTTCCTTTAGTTGTCTAAAAACACCAACCAAGTTCAATAGACCATAGATTTATTTCTGTTACCAAAGGATCAGGCTCTCTTATCTCTCCAGAAATTATAAATACTTATAATTTAATTCCAGGCATGGAGTAGAGGCTTGGTCATGAGCTTGTTCAGCAAGGAGCTGCATTTCCCTTTCCAAACATCTCACAGACAACTGAGAAACACAGAAATGCACTTATTGCATATTTTCTGGGGGAAAAACTATTCTTAGTTGCCATTGTCCAAGCAGTCCAAGGCTTGGAGAGCTGCCCACCTCCACTGCCACCGTTGTTCCAGAGTCAGTTGCACTTCATGTCATGCAATGTATTCACATTTCTATGTAAGGCTCACAAAAAAGGGGAATATTTGCCAAAGCCATGATTTAAAATACCACACGCATGACTGGAAAAACCTTTCAGCTCCTGACTAGCTCAGTCTCCATGGTACTGTAGTCAAGACAGGGAAATCTGCAGAGGATCTGCAACCAGACACCTCTTTAATTTTGGCTTTGCTTTCTGAATAGAGTCTTTAGGTTTAACATCCCACAGGGGCTTCCCTAATGGCATTTTAATTGCATCACAGTTTTCTTTCTGGCAGACACAGACATATTTGTCCCTTAATTTAATGTCTACAACGTGTTTCATCAGAGGGAGAAAAATTGTTACAAAAATCAAAATAAAGAACTCAGCCATGGGGAATACCTTTAAATGTAAAGAGTTTGTTTGGCAAGGGAAGAAGGGTGTTAGCTGGGGATTGGTTTCTTCAGCAATACCTCATTACTAACAAGCTTTCCTTTAGTCCTGCCATTTAACTCCTGAAATTGTGCTGTGGCCTCACTGAACAAGAGGTAAGTCACAGATTCATGGAATCGTGGAATTTCAGAATGGGTTTAGTGGGAAGGGAATTTAAAAATCACTCATCCCACCCCCTGCCGTGGCAGGGACACCTTCCACACTGTCCCAGGCTGCTCCAGCCCCAGTGTCCAACCTGGCCTTGGGCACTGCCAGGGATCCAGGGGTGGAATTCCATCCCAGCCCCTGCCCACCCTGCCAGGGAACAATTCCCAATTCCCAATATCCATCTAACTCTGCCCTCCTTCAGTTTAAGGCTTTCCCCCCTGGTTCTGTCACTCTTTTCCAAAGTCCCTCTCCAGCTCTCTTGGAGCCCCTTCAAAGCCCTGTGACTCAGTTGTGTTGACTGCTCAGCACTATCATGCTTCAGGAACTAATCCAGCTATAATTCTCACATGAGTGTTTTAAAAAGAGAACCAGCACTTGGAAAGCTGAAAAATTAGTGTACATCTTAAATACTAGAAGAAAATAAAAACATAACATTATTTTTTCTACGTAATTTTTCTACTAATTTTACCCTTCTGTGTTAAGGTAGATATTAAGGAAAAAAAAAATCAACTGCTGCTGATTTTCAGTTAAAAAAATAAAATTTTTTTTATCTTTGAGATAATTCAATGGTTGGTAATTTTTTTTTTGAGATCATTCAATGGTTGGCAACATCATATTTAGGAGAAGGAAGAGGGCCTCCAATGCTGCCTGGAAAATGATGGCTTCACACACTTTTTCCAGGATTCCTCTAAAGACACCCCCTATGAAATGTGCCCTGTGTAAAAGCCCTGCAACTGCTCTGTCAGCCCCAGAACTCAAAAACAACCACAGGGAAAACACAGCCAGCACCTGCCACTGCATGGTGGTGAATTCAGCCCTTCCTCTCACAACCAGAGCACTTGGGCAATATTTTCTCAGGTTTAGTTTTGCTCTCCTACCACACACCACTAAATATAACCCTGGGATGCAGCCCATTTCTGTCCAAACAGAGCAAAACAAAGCTGCTTTTTGTTTCAGACACAAAATCTGAGGGACAGCTTTTGTGATGATTCCTTGTGAGTGAAATGTTGCCTTTTTCTGCTTCCCTTCCACAAATACCAATGGCATAAATGCGTGAGTGAGCCTGCACTTTAAATTATGGACATTTAGAAACATCCTCCACCACCTGCCCTTATACCTGTGCAGATGTGGACCCCAACTCCCAAAAGCAATTCTGTTACAAAAACTATTTGGTTTATTCACTGAACTTTTAGCTAGCAACATCCTTTAGTTTAACTGGCAGAGCTATTTAATTTCTTTTTTTTCTGGGGGAAGAAACTTGGGCTAAAGGAACTCCAAAGTGAAATATCCCACCAGCAGCAGCCCACAGCACTTCTACAAGCAATGGTGCATTAAAAACACTCTTGTAAACACTGAGCAGTAAATGATGTGGAAGATCCAGTAGCACAGAGGTTTTGGCAATCTGACAGGGCTTCTGAGATGGTTTTCTTGATCTGAATGTAAACACACAGGGGTGGGGAAGAAGATCATAAGTAAGTCATAGCTTTTCATTAAAATCCAGAAGCAGATGGTCAAGGGTTTTGTCCCTTTAGCTCACTGGGTGGACAAGCAAATCCCCCATCCATCAAATCTCCTAAGGCCACGCTTAATTTCAGGCATGGAATCAACTCCATGGGATTTAACAGGACTACTCTGGTACTTCAAATTGAGTGTGTGCCCTAAACCACTGAGCCAGGGCTTAACTGCCTGGAACAAACTTCTACAGCACAGAAAGCAAAACTGAAAATGCAAGCAGATGCTAGAAAATGGTGTTTCTAGTGCCCAGAACAACAAGAGAGTGACTGTCTACAAAGGGGGTTTTTTTAGGACTTTCTGTGAGTCTGCTTTATTTCTGTGCCACCAGGGCAGCAGGGTGGAAAGGCTGCTTTTGGAAAGTGTACTCAGAATGAAGGGTGCAGCTCTGTAGTGATTCATCCCCAGCTCCAGGTCTGAAATGAAACCAGAGATGTTTTTCTTCACGGTTGCCTGTTATTTTTGCCCTTTGTAAATATACTGTGTTACACCTGGAATTTACAAAAAAAAAAGAAAAAAAATATATAAATTAAAAAGAGGCAAGGCTACACACAGTCATGGAACCCAAGAACACTTTGTCCAGTCTTGAGATGATAAATATCTGCTGAGAAAGTATTTTCTCCTTAAGACTTGAAAGCCTCACCTTAAAGCAGGGTTACTTAAAATCAAGCTGATTTGATAGTTAAATTTATCACCCATTCCTACCAAAGCTGACTGGAGTTTTGCCAGTCATTGACTCTGATGAAAGCAGATGTAAGTTCATAAATAAGCACATTTTTTCCTTTTCACTATGCTACTATTTTCCCCAGGTGACATAAAACACCTGTGCTGTGCTGAAATGCAAGGTGTCAGGGAAAATTCAGATTAGGAATCAGCAAAACTCTACATGTGTAGGGTGTATCATTCCCTTAATAAAAACTCCTCTGTTCAATATTTCTGAGTTTCAGAGTGAAATAAATGAGAAAAAAAATGTATTGTCCAAATATCTACATGTCTTTACAAGTTTATTTAGCAAGCACAGCTTGGATTACAGAGCTGCTACAAGGTCAGCTCATGCTGAGGGCAGTGCAAAGCTTGCTCAGCCTCATCCTCATTCACTGCAGCCACTCAGATTGTGGTGAATTTGGTCAGTGCTTCCTCCCCAAGGAGTCTGTCACTGAAAAAGTGGCCTATGAAGAAAAAACCCTGAAACGTCCCCAAAATTTATTACTTTGAAGAACAGTGGGGACAGCTAGATGCTGCCAGGTGAGAAGGAGCCTGTGCTGAGACTCTGAAAAGCACTTCCAGAGGGTTTTGGAGGCCTCAGCACTCAGAGAATCACGGAATCCCAGGATGGGTTGGGTTGAAAGGGAA